CCGTTTGAGGTCTCTAAAAAAAAGAGACCTGCAAGTAGAAACTTGAACGAAATAGACAAACGGGCTAATTTAGAGACAATATAAATCCAACATGAGCTTCATAAACGTCGCTACTTGGAATGTACGTGGTATTCAGTCTAAGAACTTTCGAGAGAAGAAAATGAAATATTTATTGGACACTGATTATGACTTCCTCTTTGCGCAGGAACTTAGACTGAGTACCACCGGAGATGTTGACGATGTGTGTAAAATGTGGCACAAAGGAGAGTGTATTATCTCCATCGGAGATAGCAGAGCTGATGGAGTTGGCATCTTCTTCAAGGAAAAATACATAACTATTATTAGAAGAAGGGACATAATTCCAGGAAGGCTGCTTTTGGTGGATTGTTTTTATAAAAATGAAAAATATCGTCTTATTAATATTTATACTGCCCCTGACGCAACAAATAAGTTACACATATTTAGAAAACTTAGAGAAGTTTTAACAGTTGGTTATAAAATTATATTATGTGGAGATTTTAATACAATAACGGAAGATATAGATAGGTGTAGTACAGTTGTCTTTAAACTGAGGGCGGAAGGAAAACTGCTGAAAGAAATCTGCAGCGATGCAGGCCTAATCGATGTCTGTCGCTCACTGAATCCCTTTGGAATGGATTTCACGAGATATGACAAAACGACTAAAACCCGTATAGACAGGATTTATGTATCGAATCACTTCTCTGTAACCAACTACAGAACCATTTTTAGTGACTTTTCTGATCATCTTTTGGCCCAAACGTCGTTGTCCTCCGGAGCCCCTTCCATTAGAGGCTTCTGGAAACTGAACACACAGTGCCTAAAAAATACTTGTGTTTCAACAGAATTAAAACTGGAAATACAAAAAATTATACAATTGAGATGCTTAACAAACTCTGACATCAAATTATGGGAAACATTAAAAAGTAGGTTTAAAATGTTTTTTCAAATTTAAATGTAGGGAACTCAATAAAGCAAAAAATATTAAATATGAATCATTAATCAAACAATACATTCATTTAAAGCAGATGAAAGTTAAAACTAAAACGGTAAAAGAAAATATATCTAAATTAAAAACTGAAATTGATCAATTAAACCAGGAATCATATAATATGCATACATCTGAAATAGATCAAAGAGGCAACTTGGCTCAAGCCATTAAAACCAACCAAAAGAAAATCCAAAGTAAATTCATCAAATGTATAAAAAATCAAGAAGGTTGTATTGTGTATAATGAAAAACAGAAACGGGAAGTGATAAGAGATTTATGTTCTGAAGCATATAAAAAAATAGACATTGAAACGGACTGTGTTGAAATTCTGTTGGGAACTATCCCTCCGTACAACATCCAAGAATTTGATTTCCTTCTCGGTGAAATTAAAAAAGACGAGGTGATCCAGGCGGTGAAAGAGCTGAATGTCGGTAAGAGCCCCGGTCCTGATGGTCTGCCCACTGAGTTTTATCAATTATTATCTGATGATGTTTTAAACTTACTGACCTCTATGTTTAATGAAGGTCTCAGCAGTGGTTGTATGGGTGACTCATTTTATGAAGGTGTCTTGTCTCTACTATATAAAAAAAATGATGAAACTGATATAGATAATTACAGACATTTAACTATTATGAATACCGATTATAAGATACTAGCAAAAATAATAATGAATAGATTAACAGATATATTAGATAAAATAATAGATAAAGAGCAAACATGTGCTATAAAAGGTCGCCTCATGTGGGACAACTTATCAATTTTAAGAGAAATCATAAATAAACCAAAAAAAGAAAAAGGTTTCTTTATTATTGGACTTGATCAAAAAAAAGCCTTCGACTATTTATCCAGAGATTATTTATGGTCGGTGATGAAGTCCTACGGATTTCCTGAAGCCTTCATAAACATGATTAAGTGTCTGTATTTTAAGTCTTGTGTCTGTGTAAATGTAAACGGTGTGTTGACAAATGCATTTAATGTTGAAAGAGGGGTTAAGCAGGGGTGCCCTCTAAGCGCAGCTCTATACGTGCTAGCCATAAATCCATTAATTAAATAATAAACAATGACAGTTTAATATCAGGAACACCAGTTGGCCATGCGCCCAAAATAACTGCCATCGCCTATGCAGACGATGTCACTGTTATTATAAAAAACCAACAAGAAATGGATGTTCTAACAAATCACCTAAACCTATATGAATTGGCATCAGGAGCTAAATTAAACCACAACAAAACTGAAGGTGTTTGGATCGGCGCCGACGATACCAAACGCGACATCAACATTCAAGTGAAAAAAGAAATTAAAATACTTGGAATAACTATTTGTAGCGACAACTGTGCTGAACTCAATTGGGAGAACAAACTAAGAGAAGTCAAAGAACAAGTTAAACAATGGGAGAATAAAAATACAAATTATAAATCAAGAATAAACATAATAAAATCATTCATACTTAGCAAGATCCTTTTTCTAGCAAACATCTTTCCCCCATCAGCCCAAATAATTATGCAACTAAACAAACAGTGTGTCAATTTGGTGTGGGGTACAACAAGGGAGGTTACTAAACGTAATTTGTTATTTAAAAGTAGGGAATATGGAGGCCTGGGAGCCATAGACCTGGACATTAAACTAAAAATTACCTTTGTAAAAAACATCTCGGCTGCTATAAATAGGAAAGCACCTTGGGTCGAGGATGGAAAAAAGGGATGGAACAAAAGAAGAGGCAGAGCTAGAAATAGTCCATATTATAAATTAGTTTATGGTGATTTCACAACTGAAGTTCAACATTTAGGGATTGATTGGATCGGACTACAGAATAGAGTGATTTTTAAAATGGTAAATGATTTCAAATATGGAGGTTTTATAACATACAAAAACCTAAACCCTGACGAAGGTAAAGAAGTCCTGAAATTAGTGAAATGTAAACAGATATCAGAGAGCATGAGAGACGTGAGGTGGCTGATATCGGTTAACAGACTTGCCGTCAGAGCTGTGGTTTCATGGAGCTGCTATGTGAAAACTAAAACATGCCCCATGATAAACTGTGAGGAAGATGAGACCTTACAGCACCTCCTCATGGACTGCCACAGAGCCGAGGAGGTGTGGTCGCTCCTACGGGGCATCGGTTTGGAGTTCGACGTAGAATATGCCTCAATCATGTATTGTATTCTGGATGAGGGTATGGTCATAAAACACAGGGAACTTTTTCAGTTAGTAATTTGTATAACATGTATGAAAATCTGGAAGACAAGGTGCAAGATGATACTAAATCAGACGATAATAAACAGTGGCACCATCGTGAAACAAATAATCTCTGAACTAAGGAGAAGAAAAACCCTGGACAAATCCCAGACTCTGCCATGGGGCATTTTGAAGCTGTGACCGAACTAAGCCTCTCTGGAATATGGACGTTCTCTCTGTTTATGTTATTTATATATGTATGCATTGCGATTTATATGTATTATTAATGTAACTTGTGTATATCATGTACTGCCAAATAATTTAAAATAAAGTTTTATTAAAAAAAAAAAAAAAGCAAAGGCACCAGCAAAGGCACCAGCCAAGTCCCCGAAGAAGAAGGCAGCCAAGCCGGCCAAGAAGGTTGGTCCCGGAGCCGCTGAGCTCATCTTGAAGGCGGTCACCGCCTCCAAGGACCGTAAAGGGATCTCTTACATCGCTGTGAAGAAGGCGCTGGCCGCTCAGGGCTACGAACACACCTCTCACATTAAACGCGCCGTGAAGAGGTTACTCGAGAATGGATCACTTGTGCAGGTCAAGGGAATCGGAGCCACCGGCTCCTTCAAGGCAGCCGAGAAGCCCAAGAAGGTAGCGAAGAAGCCCGCAGCCAAAGCCAAGAAGCCGGCAGCAGCAGCAGCAGCAGCAGCGAAGAAACCCGCCGCTAAGAAGCCAGCAGCAAAGAAGGCAGTAACACCCAAGAAGGCGAAGAAGCCTGCTACTGCTGCCAAGAAAAACCCCCGTGAAGAAGATAACAAAGAGCCCGAAGAAGAAGGTGGTGGCCAAGAAGGCAGCACCCAAGAACGCAGCGACTCCCAAGAAGGCAGCTACTCCCAAGAAAGCTGTGAAGAAGGCACCAGCCAGGAAAGCAGCGAAGAAGAGTAAACAGATAATCTACTTCCTCTACAAAAGGCTCTTTTAAGAGCCACCCACATACACCAAAAGAGCACTTCTCCTGTTTTAATATTACATTTGTTTACACCTGCTACATATTTATTCGCAAAACCAGAAGACATTGTGTTTATTTATTATTATCATATGCAATAAGTTAATTTAGTTAATTAGTAGATGACTTCAATCAATACGACATGTATTAACATTGTAACATTGAATGCTATATCATTAATGCTGTCAATCGTTTTACATTGTTTTTACAACACATTTTATTATTTTGCTATTTTAGTAGACATCTGCTCCACAGAAGGCTCTCACAAAAGTCACTCACAAAATACATATTTTCCCAAACACTTGATTGTGTATAAACCCTATATGTTGTATAGGCCTATATAACTTCATATAAATGTACATAGTACATCATTTTACATTTTATTTTAATATGTGTGGATCGAAAATTATTTAATTTTATCATTGTGACTTTATATTATTACACATTAATGCACTTTTACTTGAGGAGATCAGATTAGCTCCTGATTTTGATAATTAATGTTATGTTTAATAATTACATTTGATTGGATATACTTTAATGGCCGCAAATTGTACATTAGTTTTGTCACATCAGCGTGCCAAACTATCTTATAGTGTGCTTCACTTTGAAAAGTACACTTTATTTGATAATATTTCTCTAAGAATACACTATATTGTATATGTGTATAGATCTATTTCATAGTATTTGATATTCGATTATTTAATGTGAGGTCTATTGTACTTGACACAGTGAATGGACTAACGCTTCTCTGATTGGTCGATGAGATGAAGTGGGTGGCTCTTAAAAGAGCCGTTGGTTTGTAGCAGTAGCGGCGCAGTTTACTTGGAGCTGGTGTACTTGGTCACGGCCTTGGTGCCCTCAGACACGGCGTGTTTAGCCAGCTCTCCGGGGAGTAGCAGGCGGACAGCGGTCTGGATCTCCCTGGAGGTGATGGTGGAGCGCTTGTTGTAGTGAGCCAGACGAGAGGCCTCACCGGCGATGCGCTCAAAGATGTCGCTCACGAAGCAGTTCATGATGCCCATGGCCTTGGAGGAGATGCCGGTGTCGGGGTGGACCTGCTTCATCACAATAGCCGCGTTCACACCAAGTACTTTCCTGTACTTAGTTCCGGCACTAAGAGCCCTGGCGCTTTTAACCCCAGGGTACTTAGTACAGATCGCGTTCACACCGGAGTACTTTTCCCTGAGGGAAGATTACAAGTACAGTAGGTGGCGGTAAGCACCTTAAAGTTGTTTGCAACCCGCTACAAAACAAGAGAAGAAGAAAAACTGATACAGGATCTGTTTAATCGCCATGTCGGTTTTCTTTATTGCACTCTCAAGACATAACATTAAATAGAAATATTTTAAATGTAACTAAAGTGTCAGTTGTACATGTCAGTAAACATTGTCAATATAAAATAAAGTGTCAGTTGTACTATATAATAACAGTAATAACAATATAAAATAAACTCCCAGCTGTAGGGAGTCTCAGCAGCAAACCCACCTTTATTATATATCTTCCTGAGACCCACTGCATCCGTCTGCCATAAACACTATGCAAACATACATGTTAGTTTTGGCCCATAGTGGACTCCATGTTGTGTTGTGTGAAATGGGGGGGAATTAAAAGTTTAGGTAAAATAATATTTAAAATGATATAAATTATCATATTTGTGTATGTGCCCCTGCCATTCCCCCACAAGGTTGCAACATTGATGATAAATAAATGACAAATAAAGCTTTGCCAGTTTATAACCGATGAAACATGATGGTATCAGAATAATCACTTACATGTGATGTATAGGATGCTACACAGGTCACAAAAGATAAAGTGTCAAGAGAAATAAGCTTAATCGCCATGTCGGTTTTCTTTATTGCACTCTCAAGACATAACATTAAATAGAACAATTTTAAATGTAAATAAAGTGTCAGTTGTACATGTCAGTAAACATTATATATAAAATAAAGTCATAACAGTAATAACAATATAAAATAAACTGTCCCAGGTGTAGGGATATTCTCAGCAGCATGCACACCTTAGTGCAACGTTGTGTGTCGTGTGTCAGTATTTACAAAAACTATACCAAATAAACTGTTATTAAATGCAGTTTGTCGCTCATCCTGCCGCTGCGCCGACGCTTCCTCATGGCGCAGCGCCCACACTTCATCCTGGTGCTGCTGGCGCTCCATCTGCTGCTTGAACACTTCTGCCTGGCGCTCCATCGAGGTGAGCATCTTGTCCTCCGTTTTCTGGGCCTTGGTGAACAGCACCATCTGATCTCCACGCAGCGACTCATTCACCACGGCACGCCGGTCCTCCAACGCCTGGGCGGTGTCAAAGAAATTCGCATCCCGTGTCCGCTTTCCTAAGAGGGGAAAATAAGCAATATACAATATACAAGTTTAGTCGCCATGTAGTTTTACAACATACTAGGAATGTGTTTTTTGTATTTTCAAAAATAGAATTAAGGTTTCACAAATCTGAAACTGTGTTATAAAGAATGTTTAGACCCTCTGGGATAATCCAGTCCAAATAAATCGGCTATGCAGCGATTTAAGAGGTTCAAACACGGAGGATTGTTCCTTTTTGAAGAGTGCTTCATGTATGCTTGAACTTTGTTTAATGTTGTTGAGGCAAGTTAAACATAAAATATGATGAATATTATGAAATAAACATGATTGTGAACATCAGTTCGATGCGTAACGTTCTTTCAAGACAAAGTTACAGTGTGTGTGTACTGTGTGCTCGGGGCCGGTGTTAGCCTATTATGGCTAGCATGGCTAGCTTGATCTACTGAGCAAATAAAAGTACATCTGAGACCATTATTGTGCAGATTAAAACCCCAGTGCATGTAGTTGATTTTACCTTCGTCGTGGTCGTCATCGTTGGCCACTGAATCCGCCGTTTGTAGTCCTGCCCGAGTTTCTTTATTTTTAGCCGGTGTGCCGTGGGGCTGTGCACATTCCCAGGTCGAGTGAAAGCTACTGAACTGGCTTCAGTGCATTCCCTGGGTCGCGTCCTCTGCGTAGATCTCCAGAAGCGCCGACACCTCCTCATCATTTCTTGATGCTTGCCATAACTGCTTTCAAAAACAAACACAACGCACGGAGCGTTGTGTTTTTGTAGCGAGGAAAAACAATGGCGGCTCTACACAACATTTTCAGAGTTGTACGGGCGTGGTTTGCAATTCGCCCAGCCAATCAGCACTGGGGCACTTTTGGAGAACTTTTCACCCACAGAAAAGTACGCTCTCTGAGTTGGCTCTAAAAATGGGGGTAAAAGTACCCGAGATTAAGTACGATTTTTGGTGTGAACGCGACTCACGGAACTAAAACGCGAAAAGTACGGTGAAAGTACTCCGGTGTGAACGCGGCTCTTGTAGACGTAGCTTTCCTTCCTGGACTTTCTCCTCTTCTTTCCAGTCTTGGTGCATTTCCACCATGGCGCGGAGCGCGGTTTAAGCGTGCCGTGTCGTGCCGGGCCCGTTTTTGGTTGCGCTTCCACTAGGCCTAGTTCCGGCCCGGGGGTACTTTTTCACCTCTTTTCTGGCCCGACAAAATCGTGGTTCTATCGGGGCCAACAAACAGGGCTGAGTCGGGCTGAGTTTGCTAAACTAGAGAGAGAATCGCTGGCAAGGGGGCTACAACTACAACAAGATGAACATATTTGACCGTGATTTAATTGTAATACATGTTTAATAACAACATACTGATACCGGTTAGTAAAAACCATGAATTAATGCTTTGACAAGTCTGCAGACAGACGGCAGGCGAAAAACCTTTTAAAATGCGCGTTGTCTAAATGGAGATCGGCTAAGCTAACGCAATATATGCTCCGACCGTCCACACTCACAACAACGGCCTACAGACATAAATAAACCAGCGACTGTATTCGCCATGACACAGACAGTCTGTGGTTTGTACTTGTTTAACTTTTGTCTAGTTTCTGAACATATGAGGAGCTGTGAGCTTGAGTGCTAACAGCTAACGGCTGATGTTGTTTTTCTGGGGTTCTCATTGAAGATGACGTCACGGCTCCGCCTACACTGCGTTACTATAGATACTGCCCCAGTTCCTAAACTGTAATGGAAGCTCAGCATTAAAGTGAGCTGGGCCTATCAAGGCCTAACAAGGCCTAACAAAACCGTACTAATGTCGCGTTTCCACTACACGGCCTCGCTCGGCCCCGCTCGGTATGGCTGGGCCTCGTTAGGACTGGCTCACTTTATGGCGCATTTCCATTACAGTTTAGGAACTGGGGCAGTATCTATAGTAACGCAGTGTAGGCGGAGCCGTGACGTGATCTTCAGAGGACCCCAGAAAAACAACACAGCCGTTAGCTGTTAGCACTCAGAGCTCACAGCTCCTCATATATGTTCAGAAACTAGACAAAAGTTAAACAAGTACAAACCACAGACTGCCTGTGTCATGGTGAATACAGTCGCTGCTTTATTTATGTCTGTATAGGCCGTTGTTGTGAGTGTGGACGGTCGGGGCATATACTGCGTTAGCTTAGCCAATCTCCATTTAGAAAACAAGCATTTTAAAAGGTTTTTCCCCTGCTGTCTGTCTGCAGACTTGACAAAGCATTAATTCATGGTTTTTACTAACCGGTATCAGTATGTTGTTACTTCGGCATCATTTTGAAACGTGTATTACAATTAAATCACGGTCAAATATGTCCATCTTGTTGTAGTTGTTGCCCCCTTGCCAGCGACGCTCTCTCTAGTTTAGCATACTCAGCCCGACTCAGCCTCGTTGCCTCTGGCCCTGGCCCCACGATTTTATGAGGCCAGAAAAACTGTGAATTAGGACCCGCCGGCCGGTACTAGGCCAAGTGGAAACGCAACCAAAGACGGGCCGCTGACGTCACAGCCCTCTTAAACCGGGCTGCGGGCTGTAGTGGAAACGTGCCATAAGTCGAGCGAGGCCCTCCGGTGGAAATGCACCATTAGAGACGGCTTTCTTGGAGCCCTTCTTGGGCGCTTTGACGCTGGCTGCTTCAGGCATGATCGACGGTTGAAGGTTGACAAAGTTGAAATAATGCACAGAGACACAGCGTGGTCTATTTATATTCATCCGATGCAAATGTGACTGTGCTGTTGCTCGCACAGGATTGTTTGGGTACTGAGCATGTGCTAAACAACTCACCCGTTGAGCATAGTTTTTGAGAATAGAAGAGAAACATTGTTTTTAATTGAAATCTAAATAATGAAATAAACCAAAAAAGACTTGATACATTACAGTATATTGTTAGTTCAGATTAAGATAAAATATAAAACGGTTGAAGAACTTTGTCTATTTTAAAAACTGAAAATGATAACCTAAATCAAGAAATATGATATCATACATAAACAATCAGATACTATATTACCCAAGGCAATCTAGTGCAAGCCATTCAAACTGGTCCAAAAAGAAAGCATTTCATATATTTCTAGAGATTACATGAAGGCTGTCCTGATGCCTTTATAAAAAAACCTGTAAATGTCTGAATTGAATCGAGTGTGTGCATTAATGAAAATGTTTTTTAAGTAAAGGGCTTTATTTTTATATTTATTTATTTATGTGATCGATGTATTAAGCTAATGATTCCATGTGGAGAGAAGGGCTTTAAACGTAATAAATAGAATAGGGAAAAGGTACACATTAGATAATATATACCCATAGACATTTCCAAAACCTAATGTAAATATTGAAATAACAGAAAAGAGGTGAGAGTGGACAACAATGCTAACAATATTTTCGACATTTGTTTTTGGATATCTGAAGTATAAGCACTAACAGAGCATGGTATAATGACAACTTGGCAGGATATCTTGAATAACTGAGTGTAGAGATAATAACATCATTTAAATCTGTCAATGTCAAATAATATAGGTGAATGTAGAATGTTGTAGATCAGGACTCAATGAAACCATATAACATCACATAAAATGTGAGACTTAAAGAATGTGGGAAACATAATTAGTTGATAATGTATGGATATGATGTAGAAGATTCAGTGTAAAAATAGAAAGAACGAACGAAAGGGTAGTGGGAAGAGCTGTCTTTTACTATTATTGGTGGACATCAGCTTGTTGTAG